CAACTACCAAAATGGGATTTTACTCTGTTACCTGAATTCTGTATGGCTGGTAGATTAGCTCAGATTACTACACAGCACGGCCTGAACCTTGAATACTGGAGGCCTTTCTTCATTTCTCTACAGCCCAGATCACAGTGTTTTACCAGTGTATAGTGGCTTGGCAGTTAAAAGTTAGCTTCAGCTACACATGTGAAGCTGGTTAATGAAAAAAATCCACACACACACACAAGACATATAAGACTACATCAACTAACAAATAATCTGTTCAACTAAAAACAAACACAACACTCAGGAAGGCAAAGACAACAAGTCACAATAAGCTGAATGATTGGATTTCTGTTTAGTTCCAGTTTACATTTTGTTCTTATTTTTGTAAGACCTCATGATTCTCTATCTTTATCTCTTGCTCACTCGCCTCCACTTAAAATAGTTAGTTTTTTACTTATTTATTTTTGCTGTGGTTGTGGTCGAAAATGTGCAGTGCACTGAGAGCATGCCATCTTGTGCATATATTAACTGTTCCCTTATATGTGTTCTGGTGTCAGATAGTTATTTATATTTTTTTTCTTTGCACTTCTTTTTTGAAAGGTAAGCATTGAATAAGCAACCTAACATGTAACAAAACTCCTTATTTAATGAACACAAGCTGATCTTTACAAGTTCAAAAAAGAAGGTGAAGCGTTTACTGAAGACATTAATTTTCAGTGAATGATAAGCGTTTATTTATCCCAAAATTTGGGAAATTATTGTGTTACAGCAGCATGATATAAAAAATAGAATAATAGAATATCAAAATGTAGAGATGTAAAAATCTAATGAGATACAAGTTTAAATACAAAATGAAGCAGTTATTAATTTTTATAACATTCTTTTAATCAATTAATGTAATAAGCAATTACTCACAGAGACAAAAATGCTTTTGTTCGGTTTTTAGTTTATTTATTTACTTATTTTAGGTGAGCCTGCCTAAAAATGTACAGCTCTTAATTCTTCCAGGCTAGTTTCTACAGGCCGTCCTTCAGCCTGTAGAAAGTACCCTTTGTTTTTTCCTTTATTGCTCGGTGGTTAGTAGACATATCTGCATCCAAATTCCTTCATTGTGTTGCACAACACATCACAGCGGTGTAAGAATTTACACCCAGAGGCGATATTTTTTCTTGTTCTAACAGCTGCACAACACGCCCAGGACACTTATGAGCGGCCTACAAACTGACTGTGATGAACTGAACTTGCATGCTGTAGGTCAAAAGGGGAACAATACAGCTGTTAACTCCTTTTAACTTTGACATTAAAACTATTTCATAGTATAAAGGTAACTTATATACATCTCATCAAAATGCGCGTATTGTAGGGAAGCATGAGAGGACAGCGACACGGTGCACAGAAAATTCAGATGTGTGTGTGAGAGAGAGAGGTGGTCTGTCTTTTGGCGCTTGATACTTTCGATTCGTCTCCCATTTGTGTGATTTAACTTCTGGGTTATCATATACACTACCGTTTATGCGCTCTCTACATTAGAAGGCCCAAATCTGCATACGTTTACTAATCTGTCTCGCTTCCATGTCGAGTCTGTGGTGACGTCAGGGACTTCGCGTTTTAAAAAAACGAAGAAAAAAGCTAGAAACTTTTCAAAGTTAGAAACATTCAGTCTGACCTGGGCGCGTTAATCCACTCTCGTCGACGGCCACTCAAACACGGAAAACAGAGCTGATTTAACGATCCTTAAATTAACTCCCGACAACAAATAAAGTTTTCCACCAGGGGAAAGGCCAGAAGACGACTTTTTCTCAGTTCCTCTCCCTATCCCTCGGCAGCGGCTTGCGAAAAACTCCACCCTGGCTCAGCGCGTCGACGCACAGAGGGGCGGTGTAGAGTTCGGGTACTGTTCTGCTGCAGGCAAATAACACTGAGTGTGTTTTCATACTCTTCTATTTTGTTTCCAAACTCTGTCTTGTTTTCAACACTAAACCAACTCAATTTGACTCTTAATGGTACGGACTGTGCTGGAGGAGACCGCGGAGACGTTCAGATCTGCTTTGTTAGGGTTTCCGGGTAGACAGACATGTTTCCTTCAAACGTTGGCCAGCTGCATTTGAAGTTGCCCAGGATGGTTCGGTGGGTGTGTCAAAAGTGTCAACATCGTCGTATTATAAAGCTGGTGTGCGCACGCAACGCTGTGGCCACATAACGGTAAAAGTGTCAGCTCCACGAAACTTCAACTTATCTTACTTTTTCTTTGGCCTGAACACTGCTCGCATCCGGCTGTCATCACTGACAGTGACGGGACTGAAATCCAGTGTTTCTCTTCTGTAGCCCTCTTTTTAATGTTCTCTTTGATTAATAATTTTTTAAAAAGTTATAAAAAGCTACTATCTGCAATAAAAACAATAATAACAAATTAACATTCAAAAGAAGAAGAAAGGTGGAGAGGTACATATATTTTTTTAAAATTCTGTTAAAGTGGCTTTCTGACTTGTCATTCCTTGTCTTACAAAGCTCTTGAACCTGTGACTTACCGGGATTACTTTCTCACCATCTGCAAGGATATAAATATAAATTTTCAGATAAAAAAAAACAAAGATTATTTTTCTTTAAATAAATCTTAATCACACATTAAACACAGTTCTTTTGTCTCTTTATTATTATTATGTTATTATAGTATTATAATATTATATTATGTTATATTATTCAGTCAGTGTCAATGGTTACTCAGTATTAATTTGCTGTTTTTAGGGCAAGGTATGTTTTCTTTGATTATTGCAAGACCTGTCTAATGTTCAAGCTTAATACAAATGTTCTGCAAATTAATATTAATTAAAAAAGATGAGAACTGTAAAAACAGATTCTGTATACATACTAAATGACTCAGTATGCAACTCTGCAAAGCAAGTACTAGTGGTGAATTAAGTTTAGTGAAATGTTATTTAAAATCAGTGAAGGAAAATGGATAGATGGCTATTTCTTCTGTCAAATAAGCAACTTACTAAAACAAACTAGTCATCTATTTTGCCACCTAAACAAACATTTTGTGTTCTTTTAATTATTTTGGATAGATCTACAGAAATAACAGAAAATTACCATTGTGTAAAAACATAGACATTTTCCATCATTTTAATGCAGTTTTACTGCTTTAAGTAACCTGAGATCTTGTATATTTCTGCATATGTTTTATGTTAATTCAAAGCTATTTACACATGTAAAAACAATTACATTAGCATTGTTACCATGCACACTCAACATCATGGGTGAGTAGAGTTAGTTTAACAGCTTAATAATTAGCTGACGATTCTGTTAACTACAGTGTTGCAGTTAGTAGTTAGAGGATTTAAAATATAATAATTCTCCTTATTATTTGAAAAAAAATATCCAGGAAATATTGGCAATTTAGAATCTAATCAAAAACTAGATTCTTGAAAGCCTCTAATAGCCAACAGCATTGTTGTATCTATTCTAAATGTAATGCCACAGAAATGATGCACAATAAATCCCACATCCTGTTTAGTTGTGATCCTTGCAAAATCATAATCACAAATTCCTTAATCTATTAAAGAGGGAGACACATTGTTTTCCGCATTGTGAAGTATATACGAGGTGGGAAAACATTAGGTGTTTCCACCTATTAGAACAGGATAACAGTATGTTTGCATTTTAATCTGAACTTAACTTAAGATGTTTTTAGTCTTTTAGTTAATCAGTCTATCCCAGCCTCTTCTAGGGCAAAAGGTGGGGTATACCCTGGACAGGTTGCCTGTACATCACAGGGCTAACAGAGACTGAGAACCATTCACACCCATCACTGCAAGCCTTTGGACTGTGGGAGGAAGCTGGAGCACCCAGAGAGAACTGACGCAAACACAGGGATGGGCCTAAGGTGAGGCAACAGTGCTAACCACAGCACCACTATGCTGCCCACAACAATCCAATTCTGATAACTAACCTAATTATGAGAAATTTAATGGTGTGTGTTCATTACATTTCCAAAGCATTTCAAAAATGAAAAATCATACCAACAGTAAAATATGGTGGTGGTAGTGTGATGGTGCCATGTTGAAACTGTATTTTCTGTTTCCTTGGGTTATCTTTGTCTAATATTTAAATGTGTTTGATCTGAAACATTTAAGTGTAACAAACAATTGAAAAAGAGGAAACCCCCTTTTTTATATCACTTTGTTCAATTTCTCAAGCACTTTGATATATACATAGTCAAATGATGACAAATATGAGGATGATGGTAGATTTATCAACTCAATTTATGCCAATCTAATGTATGTATGTAGTCACCCTCATTCTACAGGAATAATAAAAGATTCTTCCATGTTTTGTTTAAGTATGACAAGCAGCTACAGGAAAGTTCCTGCTTCTACGTGGTTGTCAAACTACAAGTTACTGAAATGAAATTGTTTGGCTGCTTTCTGCTTGCACTGTTTGCAACAGAAACCTAAAAGTACACATGTAAATTTGTGTAAATTTAACAACTAAATTTAATTAGAAGATCAGACTGCACTTTCAAGAATGATAGGATAAATTACTCAAATTCAAGAGGGTTTACAAAGGATTTCTAGCAGCTGTTTGTACGGTACCTATATTTTTTTCCCCCTGAAACACTGATTAGATTGGATGAATGTAAATTTCAGATTTCTTAAAAAGGGCCACATCACAAGAAGACAACCTTGCAGGCACTGGCTATAATGTTTCCATGACAACATTTTTAAATCATCTACTTTCCCCTTTTTGTTTCCTGTAATAAAGTGAACTGTTTCTGTACACGTAGAGGCAATAAATGACTTGCTTGCTATTTACTTCTGTAAGTGAACAGAACAGGTTTAGAAAATGACAATGAATGACAATGCAATCAATGACCTTACCCAGTTTAATGAATTAGACTGCAAATATGAAGTTTCAGCTAAAGTTCCCTCTGTCCAAGAACATGTCTTTTCTTGTCTGACCAGTTTCTCAAATTCACACAAAGTTCTTTTAAAAATGGAAAATTAGAAGCCATAGACAGTTTGATATTTTTTGATTTATTTATCAGTGAAATGTTTAACACTATTAAACATTTTCTTACAATAACCCCTCAATAAATTGATTGGTGTCTCAACAAAATAAAACCAGGTATGTGTTATAAAGTATACAGTATGCTACAGTGCATATTTTCTTTTTTCTCTTTTTTTTTTCCCTTTTTACAGATTTACATTGGGTTTTAGATATTTGGCTCCTGGAATCAGAAGTTTAAAGATAACACACCATTTGCCTACTGGAAAAAGCTCCTCTTTATATAGCATCATTTTGCCTCTTGTGTTGAACTGTTCTGGTTTATGATGACCAAGTGACATTGTAAAGTCAGCACCTCCATCATATGCTGTGACAGCAGTACAATTTTAAATCATAAAAACAGGTGACACATACTCTTTGTTCTGTCATTAGAGGAAAACCTGAAGTCACACCATCACTGGTTGGCAGCTGTCAGAATCGATCATGCTATGTCTATGTCTGTTTATGGTTCTCCCAAATATAGCTGTTCATAAAATATAAAAGTTGAAATAAAGGATAACTAAAATAAAATATTGTGATAACAGACTCTGCTCAGGTTTACTGTCCTGCAGTAACACATGAAGACAAGGGGACTCCAGCTGTTTGTAGTCCTCCACTAATGGAGATTTAATCATAATTTTGCACGGCACAGCACTTTCTGTTGCTATTCATCTGATCTCTATTGTCTCACATAGTTTCCAAACTGCTGGAACTTTATAATTCTCCGAGTAAGTGCAGAGTACTTTCAGTTGCTGACGGCTCTTTCAGAGCCAGCCGTGGCTGCAGGCATACGAGGCATCTTCTTTACTGGACTTGGGATGTGCTGAAAGAAGAAAAGATAATCAACATCATGAAACAATTCATTACTGTCCATATATTGCATTTTGACAAGTTAGTTCCCTCTGATTATGTGGGAGAAGCAATGCTGCATGTGCAGGGGGATTCTTTCGTAGATGGGGAAAAGGGCTTCAGTATCTTGTCTAGGTACACCAAGACATGCAGAGAGACAAGCTGATAAGCTTTCTCTTCTGAATCACAGGTGCCTCCACATTTATGTTTTACATAAACAGTCATCCATCCAAGTGCCCAGGAACACTTTTCAGGAAGCCAAATGGTTCCTTCAGACCACTGCTTGTTTGCATTTCCACTGTGAAAAAGAACCATCTGACCAGTGTAAATCTGAGATGACAAGCAGTATGGCTCAGAAGTAAACTATATTGCCAAAAGTACTCACTCACCCATCCAAATCACTGAATTCAGCTGTTCCAATCACTTCCAAGTGTATAAAGCACCTAGGCATGCAGACTGCTTCTACATGCATTTGGGAAAGGATGGGTCGCTCTAAGGAGCTCAGTGAATTCCAGTGTGGTAGTGTGATAGAATGCCACCAGTGGAATTTCTTTCCCATTCCACAGTACTCTCTTAGTTGTATTAAAACAAAGTGGAAGTGATTAGGAATGACAGCCACCAAGCGGTACGCCGTGTAAAAATCTGAGGATGCTGAGGTGCAGAGTTTGCAACATTCTGCAGAGTCAACACCTCCAAACTTCCTGTGGAAATTAGCTCAAGGACAATGTGCAAAGAGCTTCATGGAACGCATATTCCTGGATGAAAACTCATCCAACCCTTTCACCACCAAGTGCAATGCAAAGCAGATCATTTGTTAGAGCAGCTGAGACATGTTCTCTCCAGTTACAAATCACGACTCTCTGTTTGGCAATTCAATCGACAAGTCTGGGTTTGGCTGTTGCCAAAAGAACTTTTAGTGTATTGGGGATTATGGTGTGGGGTTGTTTTTCAGGAGGGGCTCAGCTCCTTAGTTCTAATGAGAGGAACTCTTAATGATTCAGCATCCAAGACATTTTGGACAATTTGATGCTCCCAACATTTAGAGACTAGTTTGGGGAGCCCCTCTTCCTGTTCTGACATGACTGCACACCAGTGTACAAAGCCATGTCCATAAAGACATGGATGAGGGAATTTGGTGTCAAAGAAACCTATAGAATCTCAAACCTATAGAACACCTTTGGGATGAATTAAAGAGGTGACCATGAGCCAGGCCTTCTCACCCAACAGCAGTGTCTGACCTCAAGAATGCAATTCTGGAAAGGGAAGTGTCTAATGGAGGTTCCTGCCACAAATAGTGGACTGACATTACATTAAACTAGATGGATTAAGAATGGGATGTCATTTAAATTCATATGCATGTGAAGGCAGACAAGCAAATGCCTTTGGCAATATAGCGTATAGGGATGTGCATGACTAGACAACTACAGGAGTAATCGTCACTACTGTCACTAGTCGGTACCAGATGTACTAGTTGTTTAATGTAATTGTTTTCAATTGATGCCAAATATCAGTAAATTGTTGTCTTCTAAATGCTATCTACCACCAGGTGGAGCTGCTGCTCTGAGATTGTTGTTGACAAACACCATAAATCTCTTAGTCTCACCTGATCTTTTTGTTGACAAGATTGTGTGTTTTGTAAAGCATTCACACTATTGAGTTCCTGTTTCTCTTTATTCTTTACTATTCTTCTTCTTCTAGTTGTTAGTTCTTTTTCTAAATGTAAAAGAATGAGATTGCTGATACCAGCTGTGGAAACGAGCTGTCTCTGCAAGGTGGATGGGCTTTCCCTTAGAATAGGGTGAGGAGTTCAGTCATTCAGGAAAGGTTTAGAGTACAGCAGCTACAAAAGAAGACAGTTGAGGTGGTCGCCTCCTGAATAAAGTGTTGCAACACCAGCTGGGCTTGTCATACCGAGGAGGAAGACCAGTGCTAGACTCAGCCTCAGAACACGTTGGAGAGATGACATCCACCGGCTGGCCTGGGAATGCTACAGTGTTCCCCCAGATAAGCTGGAAGAGGTGGTTCTCTGTTTAGCCTGCAGCCCCCACAACCCAAATATAGCTAAATTATATAAAATAGCTGGGTGATTTCATCCATTCATCCATCCACTCTCTTCCACTTATCCTTATCAGAGTCGTAGGGAGGCTGGAGCCTATTCCTGCTACCATAGGGCAAGAGGTTGGGTACACCCTGGATGGATCGCCAGGGATGACAGACAGTCGTACTTGCATTCACACCTATGGCCAATTTAGATTCACCAATTAAAGGTTTTATACTCTTACTAAGCATGTGGACTCTTACATGCCCACCATGTCATTTGTTTCTATAAGGAACTGCTCATATAGTCATTTACAGATTTAAAACAAAAATACTGTTACAGAATTCAGTTTGTCTATATGAAAGATAGAAAACTGCCCAAATATTTATTCCTCCTGTACCTCGGTGGCACTGCTTGAGCGAACCAGTTCTGATTCTGCTGGCAGGTCATCATCCAGAGGTCTGCGGGCATATTCCCTGCGGTGTTTGTCATCCACTCGCGTCAAGTACCATGTACCTGGGAACAGATCCTCAACAGAGCCTTGTGGGACATAGTTGGCTGTATGGAAAAAAAAAAGTGATCAGTGTAAACAAGCCATTATTCCAAATACCAGTCTAGTTGTGTGTGTGAATAACTCAGTGAGCGTTTTAGCCAAACCAGCCTACTTTACTGAGGCAAGACTCTGACAAGTTAAAGACTTTCCATTGAAGTACTCTTCAGATGTGTGAATTTGAAAGCAAAGTCAGGGTACACTGTCTTACATTTACCTGGGGTGTGAATCTTCTATTTTTTTTTTTTACTTAAATCAGTCAATCAAGATTTGTTAATCATGTTTCTTTGTGCAGAATAATATATAAATAACCAAGTAACATTTTATATTAGGGCACAGCAAAAGCCGTTGTGAAGCTCTTTAATTATATTAGAACAAGAATCACATACTTGTCATTACTGTACAACATCACAATTAACATTTTCTATTTGTGCTTACATGAACGCTATTTTGTGCGTTTGTGACAGCTCTTAGTGTCCTTGCTGTCAGAAATATGGATAAATAATAACCAAGCAACAAAAGCGAGGTCATACCCAAGTGGTGTGTGTCTTCTCGCAGCTTCATATTCTCAGAGAAAAGAGCTGGCGAAACTTTCTTCCTCAAGTCCAGTCTTGTCTTCAGGTCGCTTAGGCTCAATACAAGTTTGTCCAGACTAGATCCTGACACAGACAGCCAACCAGAAATGAACTACAGTTTCTTTCTACCGTTTTTTAATGGGAAAAGTTTGCAATTTTACTTATGTCACACAAGTCAATTGTAAAATATATGACTTACCAGGGGTATGGTCCTGTGTCACTCTGAGAGAATACAGTGTAGCAGCAAATCCTGAACCATAGGAAAAAACTCCAATCCTTTGTCCTGCCATTTGTGATGGTGTGTGTCTACAACAGAGGCAACAAATAAATAAATAAATATATATATATATATATATTATTATTATTTTTTACATACATGCTGGATGAGTAAAACTAGTCCCAAATAAATAGTAATCTTAGCAGGACAAGCATTTCAAATCAAAGACAAGGATCCAAAGAGACTCTTGATGTTAGTGTTGTGGAATCAGTATGGATTCAGGACTTCTATGTGATCTGTTCAGCCTTTATTATTCAGGCAGTTGAGAAGTGGACTATAACATGGATTTAAAAAAAAGAAAAGAAAATTACACACACACACACACACACACAGGATGAGGGAATTTGGTGTCAAAGAAAC